CTTTCTCTTGCCGGAGCTATCTATATAAGTCGTTGCCTTTGAAAACCATCATGTTTACCAAAAACTGTCGCGACATCCGACCTCACAATTCAATTCGTTTATAATATTTGGTATACCAATAACCATCTCAAAAATAGAAAATAGCATTTGCGTGAAATCACCCTAAATACACGAAGCAATTGTTATTAAAATGGATTTTTGCGTTTGACTTACATTACCTTGGACATATGAGACTCCTAGGTACGTAAATCTCGCCGGTCACCTTTCCCTTGCTCTAACATGGTTACAAATAAAGTGACTTAAAAATTTCATACGCGAAAAATACTTGAAAAGATGTGTTTGGTACCTAGCAAATCCTTAAATGTCTAGTGTTTGTTGAAAAATAATAGCAAATGATAGTGTTACCGTAATTTATATTTGGGCAGAGTAACGAAGTTTGGATGGTTTTGAACGGTCGAGGCAAGAGTTCCACTATTTCTCCTTAAAACGATAATGCCCCGCACTGGTACTAACGGTATTGCAGCACTCGTTTCCCAAGATACAACGACCTCGTCTTGTAATAGTAGTACTTCAAATTACAAGACCCGACGAACCCGTAAAGTTTAGATCTCTCCACACACACTAGATGACTGAAATGCACGAAAAATAATTTTCGAGGACTGAATTATAAAACACAAATTATGCAAGGACAAAGGGATAATTTCGAGAGAGTAGAAAATGAATTCTGATTTTTTTTTTTGAATGAATAAAAATCGGGACATGGGAGCCTACTTATAGATGTTGAAAGGTTGTGTCCCAACAGACACAACTGTCGAAAAGTTGTGTCCAAAAGACATAAACTGTTTGGACAGTCAACCGTCACTTGGACAGCCAACCGCCACTTTGACAGTCAACCGGCTAAATTCTAAAAGTACCGTACCACGTGTCACACACAGAAAATTCGGGGAAGGAAAAAAAATTTAATAACATAAAATATATTATTATTATTATTATAATAAAATAATATAATTAAATGTTATTTTTACCAAAAAATATATATCAGCTTGGCCCAAGCCCACGACCCGTGACCGAGCCGAGCCGAGCCGACCGATTGGACGGACGGCGGCGACGGCGCGGGCGCGCGGACTTTGGCTTAACCTACTAGCATGTAGGCTCTCTCCCCCTCAAAGACTATTGGTACCCCCTTTGGGTCCAAACCCAAGTCCCAAACATGAGCTATATAAGATGGTTTATATTCTTTTAGTTTTCCTATGTGGGATTGGTATTTTTCAATTTTCCACCTATTTTATTTCAACATCAAGTTGGTATCTTTTGGCATTAATTTCTCATTCACCCTAAATTGATTTTGAGAAAATAAATATACCATATTAATCTACTCATGGAGTAGAACACATTTGGCCAAAGAAATCTTATTTCCGATTAACGGGACCCACTAAATTAATTGGTCAAAAGTTGGTCAAACCAACTAATTAAAACCAATTTTTCCAACAATCCCCCATGTGAATGGAAATTAATGCAGTAGACTATACAAATCCTATAGAGAGATCAGGCGGAATGTTATGGCATCTGGATAGGTACCTTATGGGTTTGAACCTTCCGTAGTAGAATACTATCGAATTTACTTGGCTAATCAGTGAACGTGGTGTCTTGAACTGTCAGCCGTTTTTGTAAATCAAAACAATAGTATCAACACAATAACCTTCCTAACATTTTCGAGTTCTCACTGTTGTGTTCATTTTGGCCCTGAACAACTCTTGAATTTCATAAATACTTTAGAGAATTCAAGCCTTTGAAACATTCTCATAGAAGTGGCCACACTTCACACTTATATAGGTGATCTCCTATTAAGAGTACCTGCCGTACTCCACTTAGGTAGTCCAAGATATAGGAATCATTAAAAGTATAACTTAACCTGAAACTTTCTGCAGAGTTAACTCCGAAGTGCTTATTGAATCTTCATAACTTAGTTATCCCATTGAACCAAGATTTTGGGATCTCCAGTCAGCAACGTTGGGTTACCATTACAAAGATTTTTATGTAGTAGGCTTTAAGCTCATTCCCCTTGATAGGCAGTATACTTGATCTCTTGGTAAGCCTTTGGTAAGCGGATCTGCCAGATCTTCTCTAGACTTTACATAATCTATGGAAATAATACCATTTGAGATCAACTGCTTAACTGTATTATGTTTTCGACGTATATGTCGAGACTTACCATTATACATACTACTTTGTGCTCTACCGATAGACGACTGACTATCACAATGTATACTAATTGCAGGCACAAGTTTAGGCCAACATGAAATATCCTCTAAAAAATTTCGAAGTCATTCTGCTTCCTCTCCAACTTTATCTAAAGCTATGAATTCAGATTCTATTGTGGATCGAGCTATACATGTTTGTTTAGAGGATTTCCAAGATACAGTGCACCATCAATGGTAAAAATATACCCACTAGTGAATTTTGAGTCTTTTGTATCTGATATCCAATTAGCATCACTGTATCCTTCTAATACAGCTGGATATCTCGTATAATATAATCCAACATTTGAGGTGTATCGTAGATATCTTAGAACCCTTACCAGTGCTTTCCAATGGTCATTATTTAGATTACTTCTATATCTACTAAGTTTGTTTACTACATATGCAATATCCGGACGAGTGCAGTTTGTAATATACATTAGATTGCCTATTATCCGAGAGTATTATAATTGAGATACGGGTTCGCCTTTATGTTTGGCCAAATGTAGACTTAAATCTACTGATGTTTTAACTGGACTTTCACCATACATATTTAACTTTTTAAGTACAGTCTCAACATAGTGAGATTGAGACATTACAAGTTCCTCAAATGTTTTAAGAATTTTAATTCCTAATATTACATCTGCAATACCCATATCTTTCATGTCAAAATGTTTTGTCAACATTTTCTTGGTATTTGTTATCATATCATAACTACTACCCACAATTAGCATGTCATCAACGTATAGACATACAATTACATATGCATTAGGAGTGGTTTTAATATAAACACATTTTTCACATTCGTTAATCTCAAAACCATTTGACAACATAGTTTTGTCAAATTTTGCATGCCATTGTTTTGGCGCTTGTTTTAGTCCATATAATGACTTGACGAGTCTACACACCTTTTTCTCCTGTCCAGGAGCGATGAACCCTTCGGGTTGTTCCATGTAAATTTCTTCTTCTAGCTCACCATTTAAGAAAACTGTTTTGACGTCCATCTAATGGATTTCCAAATTATGCAATGCTGCGATTGCAAGTAATACTCTAATTGATGTTATTCTTGTCACGGGTGAGTATATATCGAAAAAATCAAGGCCTTCCCATTGTTTGAATCTTTTATCTACCAATTTGGCCTTGTATTTATCAACTGATCCATCAGTCTTTAATTTTCTTTTGAAAATCCATTTACAACCTAATGGTTTATTACCAGGTGGGAGATCTACCAATTCTCAGGTATGATTCTGCATAATAGAATCATTTCACTATTGATAACCTCTTTCCAGAATGGAGTTTCTGGACTAGACATTGCTTCATTGAATGTCCTAGGCTCATTTTCTAACATATAAGTTAAAAAATCTGTACCAAAAGATGTAGATGTTTTGGTTCTTTTGCTGCGTCTTGGTTCTTCATCACTTTGAGGATTACTAATTGCAGAGTCATAAGTTCATTTTTTCGAGCTTATTTCTTTCCTATCTTTATAAGGAACTTGTCCTCAAAAAATATAGCATTCTTAGATTCAATGATAGTATTTTCGTGTATATCTGGAATGTCAGACTTATGTACGAGGAACCGATAAGCACTACTGTTATTAGCATATCCAATGAATATGCAATCGATAGTTTTAGGCCCTATTTTAATTTGTTCAGGCTTTGGTATTTGTACCTTAGCCAAACACCCCCACACTTTTAAGTATTTGTACGAAGGTTTATGACATTTCCATACCTCATAAGGAGTTTCATTCCTACCTTTGTGTGGTACTTTATTTAGAATGTGGTTCGCTGAGAGAATTGCTTCTCTCCACAAATTCCATGGTAAACCAGAACTAACCAACATAGCGTTCATCATCTCTTTTAGAGTGTGATTTTTGCGTTCTGCAATACCGTTTGATTGAGGTGAATACGGAGCTGTAGTTTGATGAATAATCCCAGAATTTGAACAAAATTCATCAAACGATACTCCATATTCCCCACCTCTATCACTACGAACAATTTTTATTCGTTTGCTTAGTTGATTCTCAACCTCATTCTTGTACTGTTTAAATGCTTCTAAAGCCTCGTCTTTACTCCTTAACAAAAAGACATAACAATACCTTGTGCAATCATCTATAAAAGTAATAAAATACTTTTTACCTCCTCTAGTTTGCACAAATTTTAAATCACAAATATCACTGTGAATTAATTCTAGAGGATTTGAGTTCCTTTCAACTGAATGAAATGGTGTTTTTGCTAATTTAGCCTCTACACATGTTTCACATCGATGATTTTGATCAAAGGACATTGAAGGTAATAAATCTAAACTTACTAATCTTCGTAATGTATTAACATTTACATGTCCTAACCTATCGTGCCATAAGTTAGAAGACTCAATCAAGTAAGTAGAAAATTTATTTTTATTAATATCAAAATCACGGAATACAGGCATTACATTCAATTTGAATAGCCCATTGGCTAAGTACCCTTTGCCTACAAACATTCCATTTTTGGTGAGTACAAATTTGTCAGATTCAAATACCAGCTTAAACCCATTATTGCTTAAAAGAGCTCCGGATACCAAGTTTTTGCGAATATCGGGAACATGCAGCACATCGATGAGTGTTACTTCTTTCCCTGATGTCATCTTCAGCACTACTTTACCTAGACCAATAACTTTTGATGTTGCTGAATTGCCCATGAAGAGTTGTCGTCCATTGATAGGAGTGTAAGATGAAAACATCTCCTTAGCCGCACAAACGTGACGAGTAGCGCCAGTATCAACGAATCATTCTCTCGGATTATCCACCATGTTTGCTTCAAATACAACAGTCGAGAGCATTAGTTTAGACACTCCGTTAGACAGCCTGTCTTCTTCAGTCAAGTGCACTTGGTCCTTTTTGTTTTGCTTTTTCTGCCGGCAGTCCTTTACAATATGACCAGGCTTACCGCAGTTATAGCAATCTCTTTTGAATTTCTTAGCCTTGCTCTTTTGCTTATTATTATTCGGGTGCTTCCTTTTCTTGCTAGTATTTGGCTTCACCAAGTTGACTTTAGTCTCCATTTGCTGCTTTCTAGATTTCTTTTCAGCATTTCGATTGTCTTCCTCAATCTTAATCTAACAATCAAATCTTCAAGTCCCATTTCCTTGCGTTTATGTTTCAGGTAGTTCTTGAAATCTTTCCACATTGGTGGTAATTTTTTGATAATTGCAGCTACCTGAAATGGTTCACAGAGTTTCATGCCTTCTGCATGTATATCGTGCAAGATAAGTTGTATCTCTTGGACTTGAGTCATTACTGTTTTAGAATCTACCATTTTGAAGTCCAGGAATTTGCCTACAACAAATTTCTTCAATCCGGCATCTTCTGTTTTGTACTTCTCTTCCAATGACTCCCATAGTAATTTAGCCGTTTTGATGGAATAGTATACGTTGTATAGTGTGTTGTCAAGGCAATTGAGGATGTAATTTCTGCATAAGAAGTCACTATGACTCCAAGCATCACATGCTGCTCGTTTTTGAGAATTTGTTTCCTTCTCCTCAACAGTTGGAGCATCCTCTTTCAAGATTTTGACCAGATTCAGAGTCGTGAGATAGAACAACATTTTCTGTTGCCATCTCTTAAAATCCACTCCAGTGAATTTTTCCGATTTCTCCCCGTAAGCATTGTTAGGGGGTACGACAGACGTACTAGGGGGTACAATAGACGTACTACTACTTGCCATTATCATTTTAAGATTGTTGAAAAATAATAGCAAATAATAGTGTTATCGTAATTTATATTTGAGCAGAGTAACGACATTTGGATGGTTTTGAATGGTCGAGGCAAGAGTTCGACTCTTTCTCCTTAAAACGATAATGCCCCACACTGGTACTAACGATATTGCAGCACTCGTTTCCCAAGATACAACGACCTCGTCTTGTAATAGTAGTACTCCAAATTACAAGACCCGATGAACCTATAAAGTTTAGATCTCTCCACACACACTAGTAGACTGAAATGCAGGAAAAATAATTTTCGAGAACTGAATTATAAAACACAAATTATGCAAGGACAAAGGGATAATTTCGGAAGAGTAGAAAATGAATTCTGATTTTTTTTGGAATGAATAAAAATCGGAGTACGGGGGCCTATTTATAGATGTTGAAAGGTTGTGTCCCAATAGACACAACTGCCGAAAAGTTGTGTCCAAAAGACACAAACTGTTTAGACAGTCAACCGCCACTTTGGACAGTCAACCGCCACTTTGACAGTCAACTGGCTAAATTCTAGAAGTACCGTACTACGTGTCACACACAGAAAATTCGGGGAAAGAAAAAAATTAATAACATAAAATATATTATTATTATTATAATAATAAAATAATATAATTAAATGTTATTTTACCAAAAAATATATATCAGCTTGGCCTAAGCCCATGACCCACGACTTGTGACCCGTGACCCATGACCCGTGACCGTGACCGTGTCGTGCCGTGCCGAGCCGAGCCAGCCAGTCAGATGGACGGCGGCGGCGGCGCGCGCGTTTGGGCGTTGGCTTAATCTACTAGCATGTAGGTTCTCTCTCCCTCAAAGACTATTGGTACCCCTTGGGGCCCAAACCCAAGTCCCAAACTTGAGCTATATAAGGTGATTTATATTCTTCTAGTTTTCCTATGTGGGATTGGTATTTTTCAATTTCCTACCTATTTTATTTCAACATCAAGTGTGCATCTTTTGACCTTAATTTCTCATTCACCCTAAATTGGTTTTGAAAAAATAAATATACCATATTAATCTACTCATGGGGTAGAACACATTCGGCCAAAAAAATCTTATTTTCGATTAACGGGATCCACTAAATTAATTGGTCAAAAGTTGGTCAAACCAACTAATTAAAACCAATTTTTCCAACGGTGTTGACCCCAAAAAATGTTGTCAACAGATGTCGGACCCATTCGCGCACACGTAAGTTAAAGTCCAACACGCGAAGACACGTGAATGGTCTAAAACAGACAGATTAAGGGCGTGGGAGTAGCTTAACGGCCCAGGACGAGAATGTTCAAAATTCGACGAGATGTTCGTAGATCGATTGTACAATAATTACCAATCGATGTTTGTAAATGTGTAAACTCGTATTGTGTTGCAAGATAATAAGATAGATTTGAGTAAAGTGTTGTTTCTTGCATTAGCCCTTTAATCCACAAGGGAAGTATTTATAGTAGTACATGTGAAATGGTGGCCCTTGGATGAGGAGGCATGTGGCCTCATCTCCTTAACTCAAATATCTAATCCTAGACATCATTCTTGATTTACTAGCTTGTTGCACATTTATTGCTTATGCAGAACCCTCATACTAACAACAAGATAACATTTACACTTCTGATAAATATCCCATCAATCAAACAAGATCCTTATGTAGAAGATCTATTGGGAGAAGTGATCGTGGAAGATGCTCATTTATGGTTCGGAGGCTTCTGTTTCTGCTTCAGGGCTTCGGCCAATCACATAATACTTCCACTTTAGGGCTTTGGCTACCTTTTCAGTGTTCACGCATCATGGCCTCAGCTACATTCACAAGGGTCTCGGTATATGGGCCTCAACATGAAGGGCATTGGCCATACATACCACCTTGACTGGAGTGCCACGTGGTTTGGCATAAGTGGACCATAGGCACTAATGGATTAGCCACGTGTGTCAACACGTAACACCTAGTACACGAGTATGTTGAATATTGATGTTTCCTACAAGTAAAAAATTATAAGTTATAATAAGCATTTCTATCGATACTGCAAGTTTTGGTACTATATTTAATTAAAAATTAAACAACTAGAAAGTATAAGTGTTGTACCCTAAGTCCGATTAACTTCTGACATAAACACTTTTAATATGTAATTGATGCAATTTTATGACAAATTTGTTATTTAACAATTAAATAAAATAATAAAGTTTGTAGATTCAAGTTTTGATAATTTGTTAATTTCAAGGAGTTGTAATTGTGAAATACAACTTACATATGATTGATCTTAAATTATCCATGATCGAAAACAATAATGAGATACAGATATAGTTATTACTGATATATCAACCCGTAACGCATTTTTTACTTGTAAAGTGAGTAGCTAATCTCACAAGTTAAGTATGGTGACACTTAAATGAATACGTTGATGTTTTGCTATTGAACAAAATATTAGAGACCCGCTGAAGAGATACCACATAAATAATTATTTGAGTATTAGTGATTAATCTTTAACGTTCGCTAATGGTATTGGTCATTTGTTTTGAGATCATCATATGTTTTATATGAGGACATATATACTTTGGTGATGTTGGATGTTAATTTGCCAATGATCGCTAATACGACATCGCTTGGTTGTAAATTATCAATAGAAGATTTGTCATTCTTAGATAGTCAGAGATTATAATCTATATTTCATTCAATTAAGTTGATAATGAAATCCTTGGTCAATGTGTACTCAAAAGTGAAAAAAGAAGTTTTTGACTTATATTTACTTAATAGCTGAATAAAATATATAATCAATAATTGAGATTCAAATATACTCATATCTCGTAATTCATCGAGTCATATTGATAAAAGGATTATAGTTTCACAGTAAATGAACAAGTTTTATTTTGTCATATCACGTGACATTTTTCGTCGCATGTATTGTTCTAACACATTGTTAAATGTCAATCTGAGATAACGGATGTGAATTAGTGATATATTAAAATGGATGTTTTAATTTATTGATTTTGTTAGATTAAAATAATAATTCACATCGTTAGTCATAGTGATTAAAAACTCAATAGGTCACATACTAAATAAGAACTAGAAGAATGAGATTCGTCAATTAATTAATTAACAGCTGTTGGATAATCAATCAATTGGGTTGTTTATTAATAGGCTCGAATTAATTAATTTGATTAATTAATTCATGAACCAAATTTAATTAATCAGATTAATTAAATATTGGATCGAGTTAAGTTTAAGAGACGGGTAAAGCCCGTTTGGACTTATATTAATAAGTTGTTAGGGTTTGAAAAATTGGAGAGAGTACAATAATTATTCTTGCTAGTATAAGAAAAGAAAATCATAATTCTCTCAATCTTGTTCCATGTGTGGATTTCCATTTGAAATTGGATAATTAGATAACTGTGGATTGCAGATCGTGATTGTTTGAGTTCAAGAAAACCAAACTCCTTCGCACAATTCAACAAAGTTATAATTTCTATTACAGTTTCTATTTAAACACAATCCTTGGTAAGATTTAAAATTTTGTTTAAATTTTGATGGGCATGTTTAAGTAAATTTTCAAAAGAAAAGTGCATCTAGTTCATAACAAGTAATTTGTCATGTCTAGGGTCTACCAGAACGTACCATAAGTCCATAACAAATCAGAATTGAGAATTAATAAGAAAATAAATAACAAAGACAAGGAAAGAAAAAGACAAGTAATAGCATCATAGCATTCCCACCTCCCCATTCATTTCTTTACCAACAGAGTAAAGCGTATGAAAATTTATTTGGATCTTATGTATATAGAAAGGTACTTTAGCTTATCGTATACACCAGCGCTTTAATAAAGTGTGGTGAGGACTCTCAATGAAACAGACCTGCACATATTTATCACATGGATAACACATGTTTAGACTCACGGGCCACTAGATGCACCAAGTCCAATTATTTATTTGGTCATGCTATACGTACACAATTTTTTATTTACTACACACAATATGAGGTGGGAAACACGGCTCGGATTATTTAATAAGGGGCAGGGCCCGCATGTTTTTGGGGGGGGGGGGAACAGTTTTCGATAACTCCCCTTGGTACAAACATCTTAATCCTTATTTCTCTAATGTCACAATAGCTAAGCTCTATTCGACATTAATTTTAATGATTTTCTTTTTCTTAAAAAAAAAAGATAGGATTATGTGTGAATGTGTGATTGAAAATGAATTAAAAAAATTAATTAATTAATGGATGTCAATCAAGGGCTAAATAGACCGTCACACATTGTTAAATTATCGGTGCAACTATTACTTTCATTGTTCATTTGATGATACAAATTGTACATAAGTAAACATGGTAAATGAGAAGAGAGGTCAAGATTTTAATTCCTTGTACTTAGCCCTTGTTTAGGCTCCATTAATTTTAAAATTTAATTTTTTCTATTTTTTTAATTATGCATTTTTCAATAAAATAATATTACATATAAAATCAAAAATTTTCCTTCTTTTTTAATCATACTTTTTTTAAAAAATCACAATTACAAAATACATTCTTTTCAATAAGGTAATCATAATGGAGCTCAAAGTTAATCTCATATTAACTTCTTCATTTTTTTTCAAATTTTATTAAATTTTATAAGTTTTCAAAATAATTTAGTCGCTCTATCTTTTTTTCCTTTTTAATTATTTTCAAGATTTTACAGTACAACATCACATGCGGGCAAGTTGTACATCCTAACATTAGTACGCGTTTGTTGACCATGCGATTTCCCATCAAGGACCCACTCCACTGAAACAGGCGCAGGCAAATAGACGATGGAAGGTCTTCACCATCTGTTTAATTTTAATTGATTCAGTAACTGTCAATAAAATTTAGCTTATGTTTGAGCCACGTTCTATAAAATATATATTTTTAAATAGTATTTTAATATTATTTTAATTACATATTTTTTAATAAAATAATATTACACATAAAATTTTAAAAAAAATCTTATTTTTTAATCACATATTTTCTATC